CGGATAAATGCGTACACTTCTTGCCATGAATATTCGCAACCACGCATAGAGCAAATCCAGAAGATGAAGAACTTATACGAATGCACAAAAAATTAATGAGGTCACGCAAATGGAACCAATACAGCGCTGTGAAATGACCAGGAGAAAACTGCAAGTGATCATACTCCAACACGTCAACGTCAGCAATGTCAAATACTTCGACGAATGACGTCTTAGAAAGAATAAGGGTGCCACAGATATGACTCACTGACTAACTGGATGTCATAAGGTGGCTACGGCATCCCCACGCTTCTTCTTACTATTTTCCAATGTATTCTCTTCTGCACAATATCAGATATGATTGCAAGCCAATCACCGTTCCATGTTTGGCTCGCAGTTTGCCGACAGGTGAGGCGAATCTGCGTATCCGACAGTTGGTCAATGATACTATCCAGTCTGATACTCCCTTTTGGTCTTTTCCAGGATGGGTTCGGCACACTAAAAATCAACATTTTGTTAGCCACTTGTCGTCCCGTCGCAGTGTGTGGCCGAGAAGTGAGTTTTAGTAGTTTCTTATACTCGCCACTGGGACCATAGATATTATTCCCCGCCCAGCGAACTCCACTGTACTCGATCCAACATTCTCCAGCCGCTGTGCGTTCATGATCTTATAGCCGAGTATTTGGCGTCAACAATAGCGTTCAAATACATCCAGCAGATTCACTTCCTTCTTGGTACGGATAAGCGTAGGTGGAGCATATACCAATAATGGTCGGACAGCTGTCAGATACAGGCGGACTTTACCGAACTACTGACAGCTGTTTTTCACAATTTTGTTGCAGCATGTTATATGTGATTCGAACCTTTCTGACTGTTTCCTGAACATCAGCTTCACAGATTCCCCCACTAGTCCAAATAGCAGAACTTGGTAACGCGCTGCGTATTTTCCCGTGAAGTTTCATTGCGTTGAAATTTTCTGGGGCATACTTTGAAACAAGGACTTTGCATTTCGATGGTTTAAGTCTCAGTCCATGCGTGACTCTGACAATCTCTATTACCATCAACGAATTCTGAGGTTCTTCCGGATTCTCTGCAATGATCGCAGCGCGTCAGCATAATGCGCATCTTGCAACCAGCATTCTGATGCTTCGAGTATCATTTCCCTATTAAAGTTTACGTCCGCCTTTGTCATCACGTCATCAATGCAATAGGTGAACAACATAGGCCTGATGCAGTACTTCGCTATCAATTTGAAAGCTGTTTGAGATCGCGAACGTGTTCGTATCACCGCTGTTGTTCTGGTTTAGAAGTATCTCAAGATATTACCAACTGTGTATGGCTCACCACTATTACAGGGTTTCATGGTCTGGTAAATTAAAAGCTGCGTCAAAGTCGACTAACCCAATGAAAAACGGTTTGTGGAACCGGTTGTATGTTGCCAGCGAAAGGCGCAATGTTAGAATGTGGTCGATGCCCGATCGGTCCGGACGAAAACCGCACTGTTCTTCTCTGATAGTATTCTCTCTGGGGTTGAATTCTGCAGACGGAAATTCTTTCATGAACCTCAGTGCCTCGCAGAGGAATCGCGGAGGGTATCCATCCGATTCAACGTCTCTTTCGTATATTGCAATAATCACTGCTAAGCACCATTCTTCCGGTGTTGCATCTTTTCGCCAAACCGCCATAATTATGTTCGAAAATCTCTGCAATCCTGTATTAGGCACATTTTTCAACAGCCCCACGTGAACCTCATCTGAGTCAGCTGCTTTATCATAGTGCCACATTTCTGAGAGCATTCATAATCTCTTCACTGGTTGGTACATCAGTGCTGCAATCATAATCAGACGTCCTACTCTGCAGAAAGCAAAGCACTGAAGCAGCTGGTGGAGATCGGTTCATAAGTTGCTAGAAATGTTCCGGAAATCACTCGGCATGCTTAAGTCATATCAGCATGTGCGATCCATCTTTCGAAACGAACAAAGAACGGGTTCGTATGGTATTATTTCTCCCGGATTATCTTGGATTGTCTTGTATTGCCGGACTAAAGCAAACGTTCATCTAAGGATGCTCCATAAAAGCAGCTCGTTTTAGCCACAGTGCACTCCTTGCTTCAGTCAAATTGCATTTCAATTCAGGTCCAATGCCCCATTTCCTGCAAGTCTGGCTCTTTTTCATTTCTTCATCAGCCTCTCAGCCCTTTCACCCACAGATTAACAGGTACGTTCTCTCCTGGAGTACTGGAATACTTTCTCTAGCCACAGTCAGTGGGAAGTTACTAAAATTTCCATATATCAGAGACAAGTTCCTTTCCAGTGTGTGACTGAAAGTAATTGACAATTTTCTCCTGAGATCTGAAATTTCCTAAAAATGCTATATCAACCCTTGGCATCGTCTCCAACCTTTTGGCGGTAACATAAGCACCATCGTTAAGACAACCGAGACATGGTCGGACAGAGAAGGTGCATCTGCAGATACTTTTAGACCGTCTTATGATGTGCCTCCATTGGTCACTTGTGAGCATGTAATCAAACTGTAGCTATAACTTCTTCCATGCAAGCTCTTTAAATAGCCTAACACTGTGGGCCTTGCCATGATGGTCTTCGGGAGCGTCGTTTTCGCTCTAAGGTCATTGCAATTGCCAGGCTGAATTTTTCGGCGAGATTGCGAAGGATCGATCCATTGTGTATTATTGTTTTTCCAGCCGAAATCATATCCTCAGTGCGACACTCGTTTCATCGCTGTCAAATCTGCGTCGGCATTCATTCCAACGAATATAAGGTCGTTCGAAGGTATGGCACCACGTGTTTGTTTAAGCATACCGTAGAAAGTGTTCTTTCCATGTTCATTTGAATTGTTCGCAGGCGCGTGGG